GGGGGGCTTAGAGATTAGTCCACTACCACGTGCAACAATGATGTCTAAGAGAGAGTACAACATTTCAAAGTCCCAAATCAGAACTAGATTTGATCCCTGATTCAAAAGGATCTCCCAAATTGCAATCCTAATCAACACATAAGTCAAAACCACAACATGACCACTATACAAGTTTACTGGCTGTTCTTATAGGTCAAAAATTACTGTAGCAGGATTATTTTCATTGGTTTTTAGTAAAACGATTAGGATCTCATGAGAGATCAAACTAACAGAATCAGGAAGAAGACGAGAAAAATTTAGAAGACTTAGAGAGAAAAATACTCTAACTTCTCAAAACTCAAAAGACAAAAAAGAATGAGTCAAACCGTTACAGCAAAAAGGCTATTAAAACAAAGGAATTAATCTCAGCCGATGATTGAAACGGATGGTCCAGATTTCCTTTCAATTAGCACAATTCAAGTGAAGTTTAGGGAGCCAATTAGTGGTTGCCAAGTGGCCATCCACATCCAACTAAACCATAAGAGAAGAAAGACCAATATATCTTTCATAAGTTGTGTATTTGAGAAGCACGCTTTTCACAATTTCCTTATTTCTTCATTGTGAATATGCACGTGGATGAGATATTCTAAAATTAGTGTTAAATTTTATTCAGATTTTATCAGTATAAATTAACGAAATTTGTATTTTTCATTTTCAAAGTTTGATTTTAACTTTTCATTTTCAATGTGTTTTTTATTGTAGAGTACTGGTTCAATTTAGAGAGTAGAAATTTCTCCATTGGTTTGGACTTAATGATCGAATGAAATAAATAAATAAAAATAAAAAATAAAATCCGTCCACCATTTGATGCTTCTGTTAGCTTTTATTTGTATTGATAAATCTGAGTATAGTGAGTTGGATAAGAAATTGTAAATTTAGATCTATTGGGTAAGAAAATTAAGTTTGATGACCAAAAAGGCACGTATAAGTTCAGTCCCGAGGCTCCGGTATATAGAGAAGACCTCACTGTTTAAGAAGTAATCATAGAAATGATGGAACCTACTATATCTTTATCTATTTAATTTATGTTAAGCCCTTGCTTGAGCCACACTATTTTTATAAAATTGTATTTTTCAATAGTGTGATAATAGAAAATGTGTGGTTAAAAAATAAGGAACAGTTTTGAATTTACATATAACATTATTTTATTGAAAAATGTATGATTGAAATGATATCAAATCATCGTTCAATAATGTATTTTTTCCAAATAATGTAGATCAAACAGGGCCTAAGTAAATTTTAATTAACCAATAAAATTAAGGATATGTTTGATAAGCCAAAATTTTCTCTAAAAAATGAAAAATCAATTCCAACTTCCACTTTTGCATTGTTTGATAGCATTTTTCCCTAGAATTTCATTTCCAAATTTCTTGCCACATAAGTCACTTTCTAGGTTTTCCTTGAATTGGAATTCCAATTCCAATCATTGTAGTTGTTTTTTTTTTTTTTTTTTTTGGCAATGGAAACAAATTCTAAGAGTCATTGTAAAAAAATATTTTCCTTTAATTGACAATTTTCATGTAAAACAAAGTCAAATGAACACCAAAAGATAGATGATTTTCTTATTTTTTTTTGGACAATGGAAATAAATTTCATCTCCAATACCAGTAAATTATATCCCTTTAATTGACATTTTTCATATAAAACAAAGCCAAACGAACATCAAAAACCATTTTTATTTCCAACATTTTTCACGTGAAAAATTATAGGAAAACAATTTCTAGACAATTCAATTCCTTGAAATTTATTTTCTTTCAATCCAAATTTAATTTTCGCAATCAAACAGACCGTAAGTAACTTTGACAACTAATTAGCAAAAATGTCGGTTGCTTCAAAAAACCATCAAGCAAGCAAGCTCACTCTTGATGAAGTGCAAGTAGACAACTTTTCTAGTACTCCTTTCAAAAAGACCTTTCCTACTTGAGTGGCTCTTCGTTTTGCATTTTTCAAGAAATATTTTGATTTCTTTTCATTTTTTATTTAATATATATTTTTTATATATCAATGATCAATCAATTCAAATATGATTTGAGTAAATGAAGAAATAGAGTATTGAAATATGTAACTAATTAAATTCGTTCATTAATAAAAAGCTTATTTATAAGTATTAACACTTTAAAATAAAATAAAAAAATCTTATATTTAAAGAGTCTCTTAGAAAGTTAATACTTTATTTCTTAAATGTAATCTTATAAACATTAGGATAAAATTTATTTTTTCATCAAACGCGTAACTCATAAATGCATATCTGAAAGTGTAGAAATGAAACAAATATTTTTCGACAATAATATCCGTACAAGTATTATAATTTTTCCAAATTCATCCTTTAATTTTGTATCATTAATGTACACCAGAATAAATAAATAAATTATTACAATAATGTCAAAACTTTGTGTCAATATTCTATAATACACACACACATCCTATCGTTAAATAATTACAAGGGTGACTTAATGATATAGGGTGTGTTTATGGATATGTGTTATCTTTTTGTCATCTAACTCTTTGAAACTAACACTCTCTGTCGTCAAAACATTTGATGTAACTTTTAGCCCCAGTGTAAGATCACTGAGATGTCATTCCTTTGACCCTTTTATGTCATAACTCCTTATCACTTCACTTTTTGTGTGCTTGAGCAGTTCAGGAGCGGATCCAGACTTTTTGTATTGTGGGATCAAAGATTAAAATACAAAATTTTTAAAATAATATAATATTAATAAAAATGAGTTAATATACTACTACAATTATAGTCTACGCATTTTAATAATTTGAAAATGTCATATAATTATGTTACTATCAACATTGTCCAATGAATTTTCCTACATGTATAGTTTTTTTACCATCTCGTTGACAAATTCCGAGCCGACAGTGAGTAAATCAAGTTAAATGTAGGATTCAATTTAATTTAGAAAGTAAATGAAATTCAAATTTAATTCGAAAGTAATTTAAAATACATTTAATCTATAACAATTCCAAAATTTTTTACATCCTCCTCAAACGATATAAATTATATTAAGAAATTTATTATACAAAAATAATAAACATCAATGACATGACAAATTTTTTTAAAGGAAAGACAAGTTAAACATCTCTTTTAGAAAACGTACGTTTAACTAGTTTTGATATTCGTTTGGACCATTCGATATAACTACGATATAGTATTCGAAATGAACTTTTAAATGGTGGAGGCCATTTGTGGATTTGGCAAGAGTACGATCGTCAACAAATTTTTAAAATTAACATATTATTGAAATTCTTGAAATACTAATTTGGAATGAGCTACTTTGATGCGTCGTAATTTTTGTTGCGATTGGCAATTTCATGCACCATTAATAAGCATAAAATTAGAATGTGAGCACTTCAAAATGGTATTAATAATACAATATTTGAACTTCATTTAGCATTCCGTAATGAGTGAGTCCAAGTGAGTTGTAAAGGAAACGACTATAAATTAAAAATAATAATAATAATTATGGGGTCATTTGACCCACATTGAACCCATGGAGCGGACTGATATTATACTCCAATTACGAAAAAATAAAATAAAAATCTCTATGCATTTCATAGTTTTCAAACTTCATTGACTAATGTAGTAATATTTTCTTCTCCAGCTATAATATTAAGGGGGCAGTTTAAGTCTCATTATTTGTGAATAATGTATTATGAAATAGTAATTGATGAAGAATATGTTAATAAAAAAAAGGTTTTTTTTTAAATTTACGTGTAATATTATTTTAATAAAAAATGTGCGTAGAAAAAATTGTGTAGTAGAATGATTGTCAAACAAAGTTAAATTGATTATGAATAAAGGTTCATAGTCTATACTTAATAGCTGTTACTAAGGATTGTAATTAAATGCATTTCTGATTTGGATGCTATCCAAAATTATTCCTAGATATAGCGCTTGTTTGAGCCCCATTTAGGAAAAAAATTAATTTTTTGAATAGTGTATTGATGGAAAATGTGTAATTAAAAAGGAAGAGAGCGTTTTGGATTTGCGTTTTATATTATTTTATTAAAGAATGTGTAGTTGAAATGATGTCAAAACACTACTGAAAAATTTGTATCTTTTTCCTAAAGAATGGGGTTCAAACAAGGGCATAGTAATTTTATTTTATTTTATTTTATTGAAATTGGTATCTTTTTCTTGTAGATGACTGTATTTTTAAAAATGAAGATTTGCATGTAACGGGGACCTTGGAGAAGAATTCTTTATGAATGTTTTTGAGTTTATGAATTATTAATGTGTTGGTCATCAAACTTTCAACTAAGCCGCTAGATTAAAATCAATTTTTTTTTAGTAAAATTTGATAAAATTGATGAAATATGTGGTTGAAAAGTTGTGAATCTCATAAAATATATGTTTAAATTAATTGTTAACTTTGATTTAAAATTTTAATTCGATTTTAATATATACCAAACAATGCTAGATTTAAAGTCGACATGCAAGAGAAGCAAAAGGGCTTTGAAAATGATATAATTGTCCTTGCATCTTAAAACAAAAATAAAATGTTGAAAATGCCCTTTTGTCCTCAATTAAAATTTCATCTTAGACAACTCGATATGTTGAGAAGTAAAAATTAATGTAGAGATCGTAAAGTTCGGTAAATTAAAATTTTAAAATATACATACATTTTTTTCTTCATCTCTTTCTAACATTCACCATTTTTTTTTTTTAAAATCAATGTGGACGAAAAAATTAGACTTATGCCATAGTGTTCTTATGATTACATAATAAAAAAAAAATGGCGAAATAGAAATTAGAGCCTCATAAATTCGATTTGTAACACGGAATAATTCTCAAGTTTTGCTGTCTTAAACTCAATTATTGTAGGGCCCAATAGCCGTTAGTGGGCTCATGAGTCATGGCATTTCTTCCTCTTATTTCAAATTAATTATCAAATAAAGAAAAGAAAACTAGCCGTTGGAAATAGTGCCAGTGAGCCTGGTGCTTCGGTTCAAGAACCCAGACACATCGCTGTCCAAAATTTTTTATCCCATGAAGCCTCCACATACACACACAGATTCACGCACAAACCTTCAAATCGAAAACTATTTTTTCCCCTTTTTTGCACCCTTTCGAGTTTGGTTCTTTGGTTTTCAACTGTTCTTGAAATGTGCCCGTAATCAGATTCGAATTAGTGGTGAATTGAAAAACAATTTCTAGCTGTTTTTTGAAAACTGAAAAGAGGCCATGGGCGAATCTTCTGCTTGCCTTATGCGCTCTCTCTCGCAGCCTTCTCCTACCTCCAGTGATGAAAAACAGGTCAGTATAAGAAATATTTGTTTTCATATTTAAGATGAGATTTTATCCTTGACATATGTAAATGGCCTGAGAATACAAATCTTGCAATCCCATTGCTTATATCGAGTTGATCGTTCGAGTTTTTTTGTCTCTGTTACTGTATTAGTCTTGTTAATTATTGTTTTAACGTTCAAGTGTGATTTCAACCTCAACAAATACCATTGGAATTTCCAATTTTTCTTTGCTAGTCAGTAATTTTATTAGGTGGGTTCTTATTTCTTTACATAAAGATCTATTGACATGAATTTGATACTTGTTTCTTGTCCATGATTTCTCTTGGGTATTTCTTGACTACTAGGTTTAACTCAGAGCTTCTGTTCTATACAGTAAAAAGGAAAATGTAGTAAAAGATGCTTTCTTATGTGTGAAATTTGAAGTTTGAAATTGGAATTGGAAATGATAATTTATTCTTCCCTCAATTTCGAAGGCCCTGTGAAGAAAAAGTCCGGAAAAGTTGGGGCGCCGGGGGGGGGGGGGGGGGGGGGGGGGGGTAAGCAAATTATATAATTTGAATTGAAAGAATTTTAGTATTTAGATACTTAATGAATTTTATGATACAGAGAGATCCTTTGCAACGAGCTTTATCATCGTCCATATCGTTTGGAAGATTCATGTCTGAATCGTTAGACTGGGAAAAATGGTCAGCTTTTACTCATAATCGATACTTGGAAGAAGTTGAGAAGTACAAAAGGCCAGGTTCTGTTGCTGAGAAGAAAGCTTATTTTGAAGCTCGATATAAGAGAAGAAAAGCCGAAGCGTTGCTTGAGCAAGACAATGAAGCTTGTACTGATCTGCCTCAACTTAATGAGACAAATGAGAATCAGGATAATTCTTCCTCGGATTCAGAATCTGCACAGAAAAATGGCAATGTCGTCACTGGAATAACCAAGAAAGACGATGTTCAGAATAGTGAGGTTACAGTACTTGAAGGAATATCGGAAGATGCTGAAAGTTCAGTTAAAAAATCATCGAATAAGCTTGAAATTGAAAGAGACATTGGTAATATTATGCCCAACAAAGCAGATAACACTCAGGAAAAGGTTTGTGTAAATAATAGTTGCCTTTATTTATCGTTCAGTTCCTATTTAGCTGATGTTTATATTCTAGGGTGCAACTATGGGAGATTCAGCCTTGTCTGGGAAAAAGAAGCCTGCATTTTCTCCTGCAAAGTTGTCAACAACTAAAAATAGTGATCTTTCGACTCCAAATTGCAAGAAGACCGTTAGAAACTCGACCAATAAAATGAGATCAACTCCAAGATCCCTTCACAGATCGATTAATTTTGATGCTCATCCTCGAGAGGCCATCAAAGCATCATCTCCCGGCCCAAAGAAGATTGTAAACTCAAGATTAATCCCAACTCTTTCCAATAAATCTAAAGACAGCAATGTTGCACCAACTTCGACTCGGGTGCCTTATTTCTTCTCCTTTCATTCATTATCCATCAATTTTTTTTTCCTGTTTTTGTTTGAATTGTTTCTAATTCAGAAGTAATTTCTGTTTGGCTAAGTGTAGGCATCCATGAATAGTATGGTAAAGCTTCCTGCGGTAACCCCTCGACCAGAAAACAAAAGGTACATTACTTTTTAGGTTCCATA